AGGAGTTCCAGCACGAGCTAAAATAACTTCTGTTAAAAACTGCTTGTTTTTGTCTCCCTGGGGCAGCACTGAGGATCAAGTAATCCATTCCTACCCTGTAGATACCGTTGACCGTATTTGGCTTAGCTTTGCTTTGGTTGTTTCTGTTTTGTTTTGTTTTATCATATATGCATATGAACTATATGTAATACTTGCTTTTTAGAGTAATTGGCATAGCTGAAGTTGAAGAACTCAGAAGAAGGTAAACCAGCTGAAGAATAAAATCAAGTGGATCAAACTGAGTTTTTATCTCCAAACAAGAGAAACCTCGTTTCTCCTAGTGAGGAAGGATCACTATTAATAGTCATCAGGATAATAGATCACCAACATATAATTCAAGCTGTACGTATAACAGAAAGTATGATACATACATATATTTGTGTGTATATGATTTTATGCATCAATGAAGTCTTATAAAGAGCTATAATACACCAAGTTATTTTCTTATGTGGATGTTAGTTAAATGACCGGAGGTACAAAACAGGAAGTGATAGAGAGAAACATCTGAATTGTAAAATTCTCTGGGCAGTGCTGAGAACAGAACACACAGTGAGTGCCAGGCCCTTTGGTCTGTGTCCCCCTCTTCCCTGCTCTGGTCCCTCCCTGTCCCCCTCTGCATGCCTCCCCTTCCCGTTGCTGCCTGCCTCTCCGCCTGTCCCTCCTTCCATCTCTCTATTGCACTGTTCTTCATCCCTCCCTTCTCTCCATATCTCCCACATCCCTCTACCTCTTCCTACTCGAGTACCTCTTCACCCTCTTCCAGTCCCTCTTAGCCCTGCCTCCATCCTGCAGCTTCTGCATTCTTTCTGTCCTCTGCCTGACTCTTAATCTCCCTTTTCCTCTCCTCCCCATCCTTCAGTCTGGGTCTATGCATCTCTCTCTTCCACTTTCTGTCTCTCCAGCTTTCCAACCTTGTCTTTCTCTCTCCATCCCTCTGGCCAGCTTCACATCTCTCTGTTTTTCTGTTTTGCTCTCCATCCCTCAATCAGGATCTCTGCCTCTTTCTTCTCTCTCCCTTTGGCCCTCCAACCTCTGTCCACCTCTTCATTGCTCTCTTTGCCTTTCCATCCTTCTGTCCACCTCTCCCTCTCTCTTTGCCTTTCCATCCCCTCTTCCTGGCCCCCTGTACCTCTGTCCAGCTCCCTGACCCTTGTTTCCACTCTATGCATTCTTCTCTATGGCTCTCCACCCCTCTTTTTCTCTCCACGAATCTCGTTACCTGTCCCTCGGATCCTCTCAGTCCCCCTGATCCTCTCAATCTCATCTTAATTTCCTGTCTTTGTTCCCCATCCCTCTTTCCAGTTCCCTGTCCCTCTACCTGACACTACAAAATGCTTTTCCTCTCTTCGGGTCCCATGCCTGTTTTTCCTTTGCCATCCCTCTGTCCACATCCCTCTCTTCTACTCCCTGTCCTTCTGTCTGGCTCCCTGTTCCCCTTTTCCCTTTTTATCCCTCTCTTCAGTTCCCTGTCCCTCTGTCTGACTATCCATCCACCGCTCTCTCTCTCACTTGCTGCCTGTTTCTCTTTTTGTCTTCCTAGCCATCTCTGCTGATCCCCATCCCTATTGTTCTTTTTGTCCCTCTGTCAGGTTCTCCATCCTTCTCCCTCTTTTCCTATTGTTCTGTCTGGCACCCTATTGATTTGTTCGGTGACCTTTCCCTCTTTTCCTCTCTTCATCCCTTTGTCCACTTCTGCATCCCTCTTCTGCTTTCTTCGGCTCCGATCCCTCTGTTTGGCCCTCCATCCTTCTCTTTCCCCTCCTTCTATCCAGCTCCTCATCTCTATGTCCAGCTCATGGTCCCTCTCTCTTCCCATGCCTCTGTCCACCTAGCTATCCCTCTTTTTCCCTATCTGTCTGTCTGTCCGCCTCCATCTGTCTCTTCCACTCCCCCTCTCTCTGTCTGGCTCCTCATCCCTCTTTTACTCTCTGCACTCCTCTGTTTGCCTCTCGATCCTTCTTTTCCTCTCTTCCACTCCTGTTCTGCACCAGGGGGGCTGGGAGGCTGGTGAGGGGG